TCGAGGTCGTGGATTTGGATTGTGAAACAAAGAAACAAAAGCAAGCGAATTTCTAGAAACTTCGAGGTGCCACTATACGTGGTGACTAGGTTTGCTGGGGGAAATTAAACAAATATTCGGGGTAGAGCACTGGGACGCGTGATCGTGAAGAAACTCAGTGTCATTAAAGTAGCTGTAGATGCAAGCGAGTATACTAGAGTCCTCTGCGAACAATTCGGCCCTTTTTCGCTCTACTAGCCATTTGGATTGGTTCGCTCCGTTTCTCCGCGTCTCGACGTTGTTGTCGACATATTAAGAAAAGGGAACCGGGACTGGAGGTGGAACACGAACAACTACAAGGCCATGGGGATGAGCACAGTCCGATGACAAATCAACAGACGCCTCCCACTTTATCAGTATCAATCACTTTTTCCAACATTGTCAAAATCTGATACTTAAATACATGAAATCCTGTCCGTTGCTACATATATAATCGCGTAGAACTACAACTAGAAAGACCGCATCACATCTTTAGAAAGAAGTAGTACTTACAATTTTTGTGAAAGTTTATCATCTGATTTGCTTCGCACTCGCTGCTATTGATAGATTTTGATTTTACATTTCCGTTTGCATTTCTCTACAAAAAACATCTTTGCGTCGAAGAAACATTAAATTCTTACTTAAAGGATACTTATTTCGAAATCCGCGTCGCCCCAACGCATTTCTCACACTCGTCACACTGCAGCTTCCTCGGTCACCGGAACGCCGCACACTTCCAATATCTTCTTGCACCGCTGGTTTGCGAGAGAGAGATTCTGCATTTGCATTTCACGCACTGCGCCGGGCGCTGTCGAGGATACCTTCTCGTCGATGCAAAGGGCAAGCAAGTATAGAGTAATCCCTTCGCTTGGCTTGTGGCGCTCGCACTCTTCGTGGAATCGGGCCAACTTACGTTGACTCTCCTCTGGACTACTGGTAACAGAGTCGAACTTGTCCAGCGCATCTTGGTTGAGGTAGGGGAAGATTCCTCCAATCGGTGCACCTACGAGCGCGCTCCGACTAAAGGCGGTGCCAATGGATGCGGATTCATGAGCTGCCCGAAGCTCGTCCGGTGTTCGCGCGGATTCGAAGTGGCCGTACAGGAGCACAGCGCCATCTACTGTCGGAACCAATTGATATCCGGTTGCAGCCAGCGGCCTGTTTCCAACAAACAAGCGGAGAGATTTCAGGTGCATTACTGGGATATTCGTTGTTGCAGTGAGGAGCGTACTTGTAGCCGTGTTGGTGATCGCGTTGCTCACGACATGAGGACGAGGATCGGTCGGGCAAATGCAAGTAGACTGCGCAGTCGTAAGTCTTCGGGTCGGTGCACTGGTAATGTGCACCCCGCTTGGCAAGCCGGAGAACTGCACCGTCACCTGCTGCCCGTTCGCGTCTGTGTACGAAGCCGAGACCGCAAACTCGCTGGCAGCGAAGATCTTCTCCGGGTGGCTTGGCACGGCCGGAAGTCCGGGCTCACCCCGCAGGAAGCTGAAGATCTTCCGCGCCATTTCCTCGGGGACGGTCTGAACCCCCGCTTCGCCGCGTTCCCGCTGCTTTTTCTCGAAGCAGGCAATGCCGGCGTTCACCGACCGCATGTTCACCTTCCGCCACGCTCGATCCTTCGCACGCATGACCTCCTGCTGCTCGATGTCTGCGAACATGTCGGCGACCGTGCTGGGCGGGTTCGCGGCTGGTGCAGCAGCAGGCTGTGCTTGCTCTGGAGCAGCAGCGGGAACGGGATTGTTGTTCGGTACCGCGTTGTTCATTTTCTGTCGATTCGAAAGTGACCACACTGTCAAATGAAAGGAACTGAAACTCTTGTGCTCTATTTCAAATTCGAACTTGCGCTTGCAGTCGCTCTCGCACTCGCAAGCATTTAGCACAAGAAGCCTTCTGCAAAGAATACACCTTAGTCAGCCACCTCTATAGTCGAATTCGCGCCACCTATCGCGACGACTTTGTTGTGTGTTACTTTCTTGTGAGTAGCTGCTGTTGACCACGAGGACCATCTCACTCTCAGAGGCAAACGAGATGTAGTTGTTGCAGTGGATGTTCCTTGTTGTGGTTCACGACACAAGGCCAGAAATACGACACTTTTTTCCTGGTGCACGGAATTCATCCAACTGCAAAGGCTGACCTGTCACCTGCGCCAGCCAGCGCTCCTGCTCAAAGGATCACTGTCGGTGTCGACGGACAAGGCGGAGCTCATAACAACACGTGTCACGATCATGACTCTCAATCGATGCTTTGGCTTTTCCGCTCCGAGAGAGACGAGAGAACTCCGATTACTGGACGAATCCGACTCAAAGTGGTTTTCAAATCGTGCTAGAGATGCGGCGATCAACATCACTGATGTCACAGTGATCGTCAGCGTCGCTTTTGATTGCTGTCCTTGCTTCTCTACTAGGCCTTCGTCTCTTTGCTCTAGTTATAAACGAACTATACGTAAACCGCGGAACGTTTGGTCTTCGATGCTTTTGTACTTTGGTCTTCAATGCTAGTGTACCTTTAGTCAAGGTAAGCACTTCCCTGAGCAAGTCACTTAGACTACTCGCCCGCTTTGCTGGTCGCGACGTACTTAAGCAGTCGGTGACCAGGCAAACTCCTTTATTCTTCTTGCGGCATTCCTCTAAAATTAAAATCTCCGTCTCTTGTTACGTGGACAGCACATAACTCTAGCATCGTCTTGAATCGGCCAGCGACGCCTGGCGGTGAAGTTGCTTGTGGGTCTTCGTTTCCGCGCCGCTCCTGCGTGCAAAAATGACCGATGGCGGATACAGTGAGAGTGACCTCAGCGCCTGGTTTGTTACGTTCGCACTCCGCGTAAAAGTTTTTGGAGGAACGGTTGAGTTTGTCAAGCGCCTCTGTAGCCAGTGTAGCGAAACTACCTCCGATCGCGGATTCGCAAGTTATGCACATGCCGATGGTGATGTCACGAGTAGGCCGGCCAGAATTCTTCCACGGGACGCGGGTACATCGCAATCGTAACGCACAGGACGCGGGCCCAGACTCTTCCACGATGGGCTCGAGCTCCTCGAGACGAAGTTGACCGACGGATAGCCGGAGGGAGCGCAAGCACCGCACAGGAACAGGGCTACTAGCGACGAACAAAGCTGCTTCTTCAAGCCTGGAGGTACTTGAGTTAGTACTTGCGCTTTCCTGGGCATTGACGTAAAAGCGTGACATTTCGGTTTGCGAGTTTTGCCCAACGTCTAGACGATCCACGTAGCCAACTGGATGTCGTGGCAGCCCCGAAAACGCGATCCGCACCTCTTGCCCGTCGAGGTTGGTGTAGGTTGCAGTGATCGCAAACTCACTTCCCGCCCATAGCTTTTCGGGATGCGTCTTGACTTCAGCGGCACCGGGCTCCCCTCGCAAAAAGCTGAAGATCTTGCGTGCCAGTTCCTCGGGGACGGTCTGAATGCGGGTCGCACCAACTTCCCGCTGCTTCTTCTCGAAACAGGTAATTGCCGCATTGACGCATCGCATGTTCACCTTTCTCCAAGACTTGTCCTTCAGCCTCAAGTACTCCGCCCTCTCGAATTCCGCGTAGACGTCACCAATTGTAGGGTGATTCCCTACGCCGGGTGCGGCCGGTTGTACTTCTTGAGCTCCTTGGGCCGGAGCTGCTACGACAGGAGCCGGAGCCGGCGCGGCGGGAACGGGATCCGCATTCCCGTCATTGGGGTTCTGACCCGCCGCGTTCGCGTTATTCATATTTTTTGATACTCTGTTTCTTTTCTTGAGCTTTTCGATTAGTTTACCTAGTGACGTCAGTTCCTCAGCTCACTAAGACACTTGCGGGTCGTTTTCCAGCTGGAAAGGTCGTGGTCGTGCAGAATCTGACTACAAAACGTAGTTAGACATCGAAACAATTAATCGCCCTAACCCCGATGGATTCTGCTACGAAAGTTGAACTCGAAATCCTTCCTTTGGGACAAGAACGCCTTTTTTCGTGAATCAATAGACCACAAGACACTCTCCCTCAATGAGGAACCCCTTGCTGTTGTTCTGCGAGTCAGTGGATGATCCTCTTAAGGCCGTGGCTGAAAGACTTTCTTAGCTGCAGAAAAAGGAAGAAAGAAAGAACAAGATGTTTCTGTAAGAAGAAGATCTGGTATTGCACGCGGCATACGTGATCAATTTCGTTTTCAATTTCATCAATCATCTCAACTAGGGCGTGTAGGTGAGTTACTTTCAAGCACTTCAC